CTTTGGTAGAAGCAAAAAGAACATTTGAAGAAAATATTAACTTACAAGATCTTGATAAATACGTACGCTCATCGCATAGATACCTAGATGACATTGAAGAAGATCAAAAGTACCACTTTTTTTCAAATAATTTCAAATTAACTTCATAGAAAGACAATGAATCCATTTTTGATCTCTGTAAATTATACTCTAAGTGTATAATGAAACAATAAAATACAACATCTACATTTATAGATACTTTCGGCTGTTATCATTCATGTTTGGATGACATTTATTGACTCTTATATTCAGTAGACAAAATGCATCACATCAATTTTCTATGATTCATTTCAGTTTGAATTGAAAAACTTTTATTTTTAGTAGAAAATCTATAATGATTCGTTTCTGTCGACATCCGCCCATTTAGATATCTATAGTTTTTACTGTTAAATAACACAAATTGAAAGTGATTTTTTTAAAAACTCACGGTTTTTCAATATTTTTCTATGAATAACACGAAGAAATTTTTACAAATAAATATTTATCGAATTATTGATTAAGTTTTATTTCCTTTCATGAAATACAAAGTTTTATAAGCAAAAGTGCGCAATGGTATGTATTTTGTTTTTGAAGAATATGAACACAGACTATGACAACACAACACAACAAAAAAAGTCATCAAATGTCACTCATGGGATTCAGAAAATAATTTCAAAGTCATAAACTTTTATCATTGAAATAATCTTCATGAATCTACATAGAATGATCAAGTCGATCGAATCATTAAATGTTTTTTTTTGGTTGATAATAATGCGAGTAAAGAATGTTTATCATGATCTTATTTGTTTGTTTTTTCGTCTTGCGAGTCTAATCGAATGCAATTGATATCGAATCACTCGGTAGAGCATTTCAATAAATTCCATGACTGAGAGAAAACTAATTCCAATCCATAAACCAGTTTGACCTCCAATATTTGAGAGAACATCAACTATACCAAGTTGTGCTGTTTGTGTACTATTTTCAACGATAGTCGTTTCACAGACAACACTTAGAGCCAGATAATTCGTTTTAATATGTGAACGCCATTCTGTCAACCAATCTGATGGTAATGGAATCGTAGAACTTTCGACAAATGCTTTGATCCCATCCATTTGCCATTCAAGTGGTGATGCTAATGCTGATTTGTGAATAATAAAATCGATTATTGAACACTGTTGTGAACAATCCGAGCAATATTTTTGTCGAAGGGAAAGACTATTTAATAGTTCATCAACTGCTTGAGTATAACAAGGCGTAGGAGTATTGGTCATATTGCAAAGAGGTGCTAAAACAACATTGTTTGTATCTGGCAAAACAATTGAACGAGCATTCCAGAGAAAAGGATTGACACAACCACATTTTTCATACCTGAAATACAAGCTAAAAGGAGTGTTGAAATATATAAGGGTAGAAGTTTGCATCCACATCTCAACCGCCCTCATAGATCCTGATCAACAGCTTAGTATTGGTGCACTTGCGTTACGAAAGACGACATACATACTCGGAAAACTGAAATCTACTGTAGGATTAATATGACACACGACTGAATTTAAGATAAGATAATTCTCTTTCATTTTAACTCGCACTTACTTTAACATATTACAACTAACATCTTCCATCATCGGTATGGATTAACAGTAGATAGCAAATTACAACCAGCATATATATTCTTACAGTTAATCGTTTACAATGTATGGAGCTCTGTCATGTTTTACATTTTCATCCAACAGGGATTGCGCTAATAGTTTTTATTCTTACAATTTAATTCGTCAAGTTATTCTCTTGACATATACTTACGCATAAGTTTGTCCACAAAGTTCATAACAAACTGTTTCAGAATAACTATAATCGGCACCATAATAATAAGTATTAAACATAATTTCCATCGGTAGAGGAATATTGTTAGTACATGATGTGTATGGAGATGATAATAAGAAAGTTGTCTTCTTTTTATATCCCAATTTATGTGACTTTCCTGGTGTCAATAGTACTCCAAATGAGTCAATCAGTGGCAATTGGGTATTATCATGTACCAGAGATACCATACCAGCGCCTGAATGAAAATTGAAAACAAAATGTCATTCGATGAATTTATCATATATTTACCTTTCCAGAAATAAGGAACATATTGATGACTATGCACATAAAATTCCAAATCGAGTACACCATTTCCACCATTGTGATTTACATATCGTACACTATTGTTACTATTACTTTTCATTTTAGCATTAAATGTGTAGCAACGACCATAAAATGCTGAGTTAAATGTAGTGAAGTTTTCTATTGAACACGGTAAATTATTGAATGTACATTTGTAGAGCATTGAAGAAAGTGAAAATAAATAAGAGTCCATTGATTCATTCTTATTTGTCTTATGTATTAGAAAATTCAAAATAGATGAAGCTAGATATGCAGGTATTGTACTTGTATTAGTTGAATTGATTAAATTCTGTTCATATGTATAGTTTAAAAATGGTCTAATGAACCGATCAAGATGAAATGGTGCACCATTACAAATACTCACTGCTGGAAAATATTGTGGCCATTCTGTAATTATATCTACATTTATCTGTGTTGGATAACCGAAATAGGATAAAATTGCTGTAGTCACAAAATAAATCATAACAGCAGTAAAACAAAGAAATGAAATTGACCAAAATATACGATTATGTATGCTTTCACTGCGAGCAATACCTGGAAGGCCATGTGTCGATGTATTCAAAGCAAATTCACGGACGATTGAACGACGACGATGCATTGTTTTTTCATCTTTGATCAATGTTGGTTTTGTTGGAAATACCATGGATACCATCGATGGATTTGAAACAAATGCAACGCGGGGCGTTGTATCCATTTTCGGCATTGTCTCTTTCTTCTTTGTTGATGGAAGTTGACTAAAAAGCACCATTGACAAAACAATTAAATCAATAAATTAAACTGAGAATTCAAATCTTCGCTTTTTTGTGGTTAAATCGTTCGGATTAATAATGTGTTTTATTCAAAGGTATTAAGTAGGAGTGACACTTTGACTTTTTTTATTTGTCTTTGGGGAAAAGAATGGAAAAGAAAGTTGTTCGGTTAGATGGATCTCGGGTTGTTGAAAACCTTTCTAAAAAATATCAGTTTAATATTCTTCGATCACTTTCTTTGTTGTCTTCCTTGAATACCCAAATAAAGGATCTAGATTTTCCTTATTTATTGTTGTCTCCTCTCACACAGTTCTATTCAGATTCAAAGCGAAATACAAACCTAATGTGAAATTAAATCTAGATATGGAACAGGGCCCGACAGAAAAACAAAAACTGTGGAACAAAACCCGGAAGGACTCGCAGTTCTCTAGTGTAGATAGATTTAAAAAAGAACTTCTCATACTGAATAGGTTCTCTCAAGACTAAGTAAAATTTCACTTCAAAAGTGTACACATCACCTGAAAATACTTCTTTGTAAGTTTGAGCTATCTCTCTTATCACAGATCGACACAGGAAGCTAGAATATATGGATAACCAATACTTGATAGCGCATGTATCACAAAAGTCTACCATAACAAGTCATAGTCACTAGGAGACAAGTATTAAGTAATGATATGCGACATTGATAAAATATGAAATGACATGTTACTATGTAAAATAATCAAACAAGAGAAATACCTCAACAATATTTCTTGCAATATTTTGATAAATAATAGGTGTTCGAGGTTAACTTTATTTGACTAAGAAAACATTAGCTGCAGTATTTACTTTTATTTCTTTCTTTCAGCATGATGAACAAAAAACGCCTCTCCATTAATAAAGACGAATGATGAAAATGAATTAATGGACACAAATAGTGCAAAAGCGACTCTAAAGCAATAATTTGTTTCCAACATATCGTTCAAACAACAATGACTTGCTCAATGTTTGTTCAGTATCGAATAAAATGAAATAAAAATAAAGAAAAAAAAAAGTAGGTTAGTGTCAGTAGTATGTAATGTAATCCATCCCTTAATGAGTCCTTGAAACGAAGAGAATGAAGAAAATAATAGTCAATTAAATTCAACAAATAGGTTTCTATGTAGTTCGCATCCAACTCGGAAAATATGATTTTCTTTTACTAAAAGAATAGAATTTCAAAGTAGAACATAATTCAAAATCTTTAGGTTCAGCTTGATGACAAAGATTTTTTGTAAACTTTTCTGCCGATGAGAACGAGTACTATCAACCAGGGAACGTCACAGGACTTGCTCTGTATTTTTGCAAGTTTGCCCTGCAATTCTTATCCCAATGCAGGAGCAGGACAATCTTTTTTTACATGAAGGACCTGCAGGGTGATTTATTAGTCCTGCAGGACGGACTTGAAAAGAAAGCACAGAAATAAATCAGCTGCACAAAAATTTTGAGATTCATAGCCATTTCTATAAAGTGATTAGGTATTGATTGTAGAGCGATGAGCAGTTATAACATAAAAACCTAATACAATCAATACTTAGGCGTAATTTCTGCTTTTGTCAATAGTGGCAAGAAGAATACATACTATACCAGCAATTAGTGCATCGGTGGAAAGGTTATTTAGTTCCACTAGATTAACAGTTACTCAAAGAAGAACACGCTTATAACCAAATCAAATTGATAATATATGATTTATTCGTTTGTACGAGAAATTCGAGAACAAGAAATTTTTAAGAAAGTTTTTTTATTTCTCTGTCAATTTGGATCGCGTCGTGAACTTTGTATCTTGATGTTTCCTCTGTTATTCTTTTGTTGATCTTATGGATCTCTGTATTATTCTCTGTTCATTTCATTTCTGTTTCAAAACGTGTCTGGAGATTTTCTAATAAAATTATATTATAGGTTTCTTCATGTAAACAGCACTTTCATCTTTGATGTTGTATCTCATCTTCAGTATCAATAAGACTGTAAATCCTTTATCATTATGTTATCTTCTAATTCCTTTTTTTTCTTATGAATCTCTAGTACTTTTTGTTCATTTCATTTCATATCTACCAGAAAGCGTGTGATTAGACTAATTAACAGGATCATTATAAATGATTTTTATAAAAAGAGTACTTGTAGGATGCTTGACAGCATATCTCATATTTGGATAATATTTTACCTTTTGGAAGAATGTAATTAAAAAGTCGTCCTGCAGGCAGGACGCATGACGAATTTTTGTCCTGCAAGTGTGTCCTGTCAGGACGAAGCTTTTTATGTCCTGTAATCTGTCCTGAAAAGCAGGACAAGGTTTGGTAATGTCCTGCAAAAATGCAGCGTAGGACGAAAAAAGCCGCCCTGTGACGTTCTCTGCTATCAACCATGATTGCAATTTCATTCTGACTAAGATATACATGTAGAACACGAAGAGATGCTTCGAGTATTCGAGTAATCTCTTTATGTTTATAAGATAAAGATAAATAAATTCTTTATTTTTGAAAAAGTAAATTCCAGTTATCTTTATTTTATAAATATGAGAATTTCATTTATATTTCTTCTTTATCATAAACAACAATTAAGATGAAATAACAACCCTAGTGTAAAAATCAAAATATTTCTTTCACCATCCATTAGCAGTTGATAGTTGACGAAGCGTTAATGAGAAAAGAATTTTGTCAGATGCCAATTCATGGTTAATTATTAGTGAATAGCTGATGTGACCACTTAACACTTAAACGACACAACATGCTGATTGTTTATTATGCAGAAAACAGCTTTCCAATGTATCACTTGTTGCATTACTGCCACGCTCGCTCACCATTCCTTCACAAAAAGCGTACAATAAATCACATTAGAAGCTGTTCATAGTTTACATAATTACGTTTTGCATTTTTGTGAAATCTCCAAACTTCCATCTCAATCTCGTTCTCCCTAAAATCATACAACAATACATGCACATATTTGTGAGTCTCTCGAGATTCAAAGAAAAAAACCAGAAGAAGAAGAAGAAGCGCATACATATATGAGTAAACTTATTGCGCACACTAACTATAATCACTGAAGTGAACAGTACTCACACGGTGGTGAGCAATATATCGATTGATCATTCCTCTGACGACGTGTCGACACTCCTTGTGCACACACACACACATATATATATCTGTTGATTGCTATTCATTCATTTTTTTTTTGATAATATCTAGTACTTTCTTAAATATGAAGATACTCGTTTTGAAAGAATGAAAACAGAAAACGGCAAAAGAATTTATCTATAAATGATAATTTGATTCAAAATTTTTGATGCTTTCAATGAAATATATATATATCCTTATAAACAAGTGTAATAAAGAAAATAATAGTTTGGTTTGAAGTCTGCTTTAACTTTTTAATTGTTGAAATGAAATTAGAAAATGTAAATTTTATTTGTCTGTATTAAAACAATTAATTGAATAATGTTGTATATCAAATTGTGTTATATCGCCTACGCTTTGTCATCACCATACGCTTTCAAAACAAAAAATATTTATTGTGCTAATATCTGATTAAATATCATTATATACGATCGATTCAATTGAGTTTTTACTTTTCTTTTTTTTTAAATTTTGGAAATTTGATATATCATGGATTAAATATTTGTATAAGTACGCAATATTTTTTCTCAAGATACTTTTGAGGATACACAAATATTCTTATTTTTATTTCCATTAGCACATACAAATATGCAATATAAACTTGTATTTCTTATTTTTCCCGTTGTGTTAACAATATCTGCTGTTTCTGGACAAATAAACAGTAAGTCATGAACAAGAAACAAGTATTATACATTTCTCCTTATGGAAGGACTCGCTAATCTTGAAAAATTTTTGTTTTTCTTGAGAGCCAAGCTTCAGTATTTTATTGTTTGTTTTGTTCATCAATATCCAAAAGTTAGTTAACTTCAGAAAAACCGAACCTACGAGAAAAAAAAAGTTGTCCTACACAGAATCAAACCGACCATGAGAATACTAATTGCCGACTAAATAAATAAAAAAAACGAGTTTTGAAGAATTTTTATAGATTCAATACGAAGACTGGGCTAGTTTTCTCTAGATCGGAATAGGAACCATACACGAGATAAAATGAAAACTTTTAAAAATCAGCTGATATTTTGATGATAATTTATATTTAGTCTGCAATCCAAATCCATGTTATAACTCTGGCCGATGTATATTAATTAATGGAAATACTGATTATCATTGTATATGTCCACCCAATCTTCCCCTCGGTGGTAAACGATGTGATATGCTGATTTCCGAAACAACAACGACAACAATGATGCCAAGTTAGATTTCAATCTACTCTCTTTATTGTTTAATGAAATATTCTTATCTTTAGCTACATTATTTACACCATCACTATGTGCATCGAATCCATGTTATAACGGAGGTCTATGTAGTGTTTCTCCATTGACAAATACTTATGTTTGTTCATGTACTCAATTATATTATGGAAAACAATGTGAATGTATGATAAATAGAATAATCTTCATTAATATTTAGTTAATTTTTTTTCGCTTTTTTTTTATTAGTTTTGCATCAATGTTATTATCAACCATCCGTTTGTCAGAATGGTGGTACATGTTTATCTGGTATTAATGGTGCTTATTCATGTCAATGTCCATCGTCATATTCAGGAATTAACTGTGAACAATATATTCAACCAACAAGTATTTTAAATAATTATTTTTTATTTGATATTTTTTTTTCTTTAAGCTATTTGCTCATCGATGCCATGTAAGAATGGTGCAACATGTTTATCTCTGAATGGTAATACAAATTATTATTGTCAATGTCCACAAGAATATACTGGACCTACATGTAGTATGTTATTAAGAAAAATAAAATAGATTCAATTAATTTCATAAGGAAAAGACACATGAAAATTTAATTTAGGTACAGTCGTTACAGTTTGTCCTGTTGATTATTGTAAAAATAATGGTCAATGTATATTTGATTATACACTTAATCGATTAAGATGTGCTTGTCCAAGTACATTTGGTGGTCAATATTGTGAAATTCCAATAGGTAAATAATAGCAACAAAAAAATTGATATTCGTATTTTATTTCTATTAAAGGTCAAGCAAATGCATGTGCAAGTTTTCCTTGTTATAATAATGGTAGTTGTACACCAGCTGGTGCTTCTTTTCTATGTACTTGTAAAGAACCATTCAGTGGTAATCAATGTCAATTTAAGAATCATAGTACGATAATAAATAGACTTTATTAGTTTTGATTCTAAAAGATAACTATTATTTAGCTACACTGTGTGCATCGTTACCTTGTAAAAATAATGGCGTGTGAGTAATTAATATTATAATGAAAATTTAGTTGAAATATTATTTTTAGTTGTGTGGATCTTGGTAATACCTTTCATTGTCGATGTCCATCAGGTTTTCAAGGAACGACATGTGAAATACCTACGACTAGTTAGTAAATTTTATTGTTTTCATTTTTTTTTTTCTGTAATTTTCAAAGAAAAACAAATAATATTTTTAGCTAATTGTTATGGTAATAATCCGTGTATGAATGGTGGCATGTAAGATTATTAATGAATTTCTACTATTTTAATTTTATTTCGTATATCATAGATGTGTTCCAAGTGGAAATGCGTATTATTGTAAGTGTCCATCAGGTTATACTGGATCACGATGTGAAGATCAAACAAGTATAAATTTCATGATGACCAAATTTTTGTTATTACTTTTTTATTTATTCAGCTTTACCAGATAGACCTTGTGGTATAAGTCCTGCTATATGTCAACAAGGCGGCACGTATATATTGATAATTTGAAAAAAGTTTGTTTTCTTTTTTGTTATTTCCGATTTTTTTTAAAGATGCATCACAAATGGGACTTATATTCGATGTATTTGTCGACCGGGAACTGAAGGAGAATTCTGTGAAAGAAATACTACAAGTAAATTAAATCTTTTTCATATATTGGTGTCTAATCTAGTATCCGACTTTGGACAGACATTAATTCAGACCATTGTCGGATTGATCAGTTACAAAACACACACACTCACATCCTAGCCAATAATTTTCAGGTGAATCTTCGATTGGACGTTTTGTAGCTGATTAATTTAAGAATGATCTGAATTAATGTTGGATATACATGAAGTGAAATCTTTGATCTGTCTATACGAATTTGTGATTGAGCGCTATCATTGATATGTATTAGGGAATAATTCGTTGTATTTTCAATATTGTAGATCTTTGTCTACCTAATCCATGTTTCAATGGTGGAAGGCAAGTGATCTCAAAATAAATAATCAAACTATAACTTTAGATGACTTATATTCAGTTGTTATTTGACTCAAACAGCATTCAATTGTCTTTGTCCACAACCATTTACGGGAAACAGATGTGAAACCTCTACAAATGGTATTTCTTTTGTTTTGCAAGTTGAACTTGTCATTCTATTAAAATGATTTTTTTCTAATAGTAAATGCATGTACTGCTAATCCAAACTACTGTAAAAATAGTGGAACGTTAGTACAAATTCTAGGATAATTTATTTGTTTTATTGTTTTGATTTATTTAGTTGTATGGTACTTAATAATGCACTCTTCTGTATATGTCCATCACCTTTTACGGGACCAACTTGTCAACAAGTTATACAAAGTTAAAAATGAAATTTTTTTTTTTTTAAACAATAAATTTATTTTATAGCTGAACCGAATTCCATTTGTAATATTATTCCGGGTAGATGTCAAAACGGTGGAACGTTAGTAGAAAGAAAATAATTTAAGACAATATGTTCATGTTTTTTTTTCTCTTGATAGATGTGTACCAGTTGGAGTAAATGCATTTACTTGTCAATGTATGCCAGGATATACAGGATTAAGTTGTGAAACGTTTACTAATCGTAAAATGAAATTTTCATAGGTTTTTTCTTTTTTTAAATTAATTTCTCTTTTTATTTTATTAAGCAACAAGTAATTGTTTTAGTAATCCATCGGTTTGTGTAAATGGAGGCCAGTAAGTTTTATAAGAAAACAAATTGTTTCTAGATCAAATTTTGTGTTCTTTCAAATTATATTCTTAGAATTTTTCTATGAATCTTGAAAAGACTCAACAAATTTTTTCTTTGAAGAAAAAAAAAACTCAAATAGAACTTGTTTAAGACATGCTATGAAATTTTATCGGATATATTCGAAGATACAGAAAATAATTCTATACAAAACGGTAAAGTTTTTGCAAACTGTTAACGTCACAACTCTATTCGTTTATCATTTTCTCGAATAGAGATCACCTTCAATCTGTCAAGATTTAGTTATAGTTCGATAGTCCGTAGTCATCGAAAAATTCTAAGTATATATGTTAAAAGAACACGAAATTTTGATTCTCATAAATTACTTATTACGAAAAAATATAGTTAGAAACTTTTCAGCCCATCCGAGATTATTATTAGATTATTTATTTTGATTTATAAAGATGTCTTTTTGTTGGAAATTCATACCAATGCGTTTGTCCTAGTGGTTTTAATGGACCATTTTGTGAAACATCATGTATGTGTCTTTTTTTGTATTAAAATTCAATTGTTTTAATTTGTATTTTTTGCATTTAACAGCCTTATGTAATACATTAACATGTTCGAATGGTGGTACATGTGTGACAGTATCAGGTGGAACTGGTTGGATATGTATTTGTCCATCAGGATTTACAGGAGATCGATGTCAAAATATGAATAGTAGTAAGTTTGCTATACAAAGTTTACAATCAATTATAAAATAATTCTAAATAGTGTCTCAATGTTCTTTACAACCTTGTCGAAATGGGGCTACTTGTGTAGATGGTCCATTTACATATACTTGTAAATGTCCTTATCCATTCAGTGGACAACAATGTCAATACGTATCTACAGTTCAATGTAAGTTAATAATAAATTGAATCTTTTGTTTCTATTCTTGTTTTGTAAAAGTCACAGAAGATAATAGTGAGTATAAGTATTAAGTCAAAATTTTCCAGATGCCCTCCTTCACATCATTGACCTTGACCGCAGAGAATAAGAGGCATTAGAGTCTTATTACAAAGTTCTTTAACTGTAGGAAAAGGTGCTGAACGATATTCATGCAAAACTTCTAATTAAGTCATTTGTAAAAAACTTGAAACTTAAAAACATGTTCAATTTTCAAGACAAACACTAAAAATATTTTCTCAAATCCTCAGAATCATTTTGCTTTTCTAAAAAACACTTTGTAATTGAAAACAATGAAAATAAAATATGACATAATACGAGGTCGTAGGCCATTTCTTGCGAAGATACTATGATTTTTAAGCAAATAGATAGAAAATATAGAATAATAAATTATGTAGTTACAAAGAGTGCAGCTGTTAAAATATTGAACGACTGTTGACCTGTTTTTAATTAGCTATCAAATATTTGAAATATGAACTGATCGAATTCTAACTGTTTGTAAGCTTATCGCGATGTATAGTAGAGTGTTAAGACTTGATGTTTATGAGTTAAATCAATAGTTAGAATAATAATAATGTTAAATTAAGAAAAATGTAAAATAACAAGTAAACAACAACAAGGTCAATAAACAAAAGACAAAATTGTCTGTTCGAAATGCAGAAATAAACTTAATAAGATCGATTGTTTTCTCTGGGAGATTTTTTATATACCATGTATTTACTATTAGTATAATAAGGCTCAAGAACACATGTGAGTTTCATATTTCAGCCCTAAAAAGAATTACACTAATGAGTTTCTTTATTTTAATTTTAGCACCCTGTGATGGAAATCCATGTGTGAATTCTGGTAAATGTAATCGGGTTGGTGATACTTATACTTGTACATGTCCTCCGGGTTATACAGGACGAACATGTGAAATAAATGTTCGACCAGGTAAAATCTTTCAAGAAAAAAAAAAAACAAAGAAATTTATTCGTTTTTTTTTTCTTTTTAGCTACTTGTACCATCAATTGTTCACCAGGTTATTGTTTTTCAAATCCAAATACTCAACCACCATATGCTTGTTATTGTCCCGATGATACAGTTCAATTAAGATCATGTATTATTTAAATTTATTTTTAAGAAAATAAATAAAGAATTAATTTATGATTATATATAACATTTTCAATTTTTTTTTGCATTTCTTATTGCCAATGACCTTGATTAAATGTTAGAGATAAGCTGTTCATTGAATAGATGCAACAAAACATTTTCCCCAGAGTTTTTTTTTTCTCTTGTTCTTTCTCGTTTGTTTCATAATCTATTATAATAACTACTACTACCCAGACAGGAAGACAGACAAGGTCGAATGTCTATTTCTGTCGTTATATAAAAAAAACTGAAGAACGAGCAAGCGCGATAAACAATGCTTTTTTCTCTCTTTCTCTCTGTTGCTCTCGTTTTTTTTTTCTCAATGTCAAACTTTGTTTTCATCCGGAAAAGACAGTAAATGTATTTCATGCAGACGTAAACAGTACTCAAAATAATATAACCTTGAGTAAAGAATCAGTTTTCGATATCGACCCTGAATTGAAGGCAAAACTACTAAACAAATAAATATAAATCGACTTTTATTTTTTAATGATTTGCACTCGAATTTCAAAAAAACAAAGAAAAAAAAGATTATTTTACAAAAAAAAAAGAAGAAGAAAAAAAACGGACAAGGCAACAAAACACACACTTATAGATAGGTAAAGAAAAAAAAAGACGAAATAGAAGCTTAGAATGAGACAAATGCTGAAGCGAAATTAAAATGAATCAATAGTAGTAGCATTTTAGCCAAAAAAAAACACTTGGTGTACTTTCCTTTTTTTTTTTAGTTTTTTTTTAGTATTAAATATTTGGTTAAAAACCTGAGTGGTTATGATTTATCTGCATACTGCTATTGTATATATATATATTTTTTTTGAAAAAAAAAGAAGAAGAAAAAGAAACATTAATGAACTCTGTTCGTTTTTATTTTGTTATTATTAGAAGATAGTTTTTTAAATTTATTTATCCACAGTAGCCATTAGTAGCAGAGCAATAAAATCCTGAGGCATTTGTTTTTATTTTTGTTAAAACAAAAGAAGTAGAGGAAGAAGAAGAAAGTCAGTACTGTTCAACCTGAGAGAACAAATCCTGAGTAATATATATATAATAAATGTGAAGTCCTTTTTTTTTGTATATAGGTGATTCGGTAGATAGTTTTAGTAACTTGAAGCTATAGGAGAAAAAAAAAAAGAAAAATCTTTTTTTTGTTTATAGAAGCACAGTGTGCTCAGAAAAAAAGAAGAAAAAAAGGAGAATAATATAAATGAAAGATATTAGAAGAAGATACTTGACAGAAAACGACGATTATAAACAACAACAACAACAACAAAAAGATTGAATATATACACACGTATAAATACACTGTATTATTCCTGCTACTGTTTTAATTATGCCTCACTCATAGAATGAGTTAAAAAGAAAAAGATAACTCGTTTTATGTTTTCGAAGTTTTTGGAGACAAAGAGAGAGAGACAAAAAAAGAAAGATAGAGAGAAAAGAGACTGTTCTTTGTGCATTAAACTACCGGGTTGAACTGTGTGAATATATATATGTATGTATGTATATATATTAAAACATAGATAGATACCTGAGTGAAAGCCGTGAGAATGGAAACCGTATACATAATTAAAAGGCAAGAATACGATTATTACCGAAATCAACAACAAGAACAAGACCTTCAGGTGTAATACATAATCCACTTGGTCTATCCATTTGTAAAGGACCTGAACCTTGTGTACCAAATTTTGTTTTAAAAACACCTTGTGGTGAAAAAATTTGTACACGATAATTTCTTGAATCGGCAACTAATATATTTCCTTCAGCATCAATATCCACACCTTGTGGACGAAGAAATTGTCCATTAGCTGAACCTTCACTACCAAGAAAACGTGCATTTTGAAAATCTGATGATAAAAATAATAAACGATGATTATTAAAATCTGATACAATTATATGACCAGCATGTGTAAATACAACACCACGTGGTGAATCAAATTGTTTCCATACAGGACCATCAAAACCATATTTTCGTAAGAATAAACCATCTTTAGAAAATAATTGTATACGATGATTACGTGTATCAGATATTAATATTTGTGATGTTGATGATATAGCTACATCCCATGGATAATTAAATTGACCGGGTTTAGTACCTTTTTCACCAAATTTATATATATATTCTCCAATAGATGTAAAAATTTGTATACGATGATTATCTTTATCTGTAACAATAATACGATTTAATTGTTTATCAAATGCAACACCAGCTGGACGATCAAATTGTCCTGGACGATTTCCTTGTGTACCAAATTTTCTAAGAAATTGTCCATATTTATTAAATATTTGTATTCGATTATTTGATCGATCAGCAACAATTATATTTGATTGATTATCACAACAAACACCCCATGGTCGACATAATTTACCATCTTCATCACCTTCACCACCAATTTCAAATTCTAATTTTAAACCAATTGTTGTATAATTACGATTTTGTTTTATTTCAATACGAAATGGATTATCTTTTATTGGTGAATTATTTACATAAACATTTAATATATGTAAATTATCACTTTGTGCTATATATGTTATAAAATATTGTCCATTTTGACGATCATATATTTCACATGGTACTGTTTGATTATTACCTGTATCAATTAAACAACATTGAATATTATCACCACCTGTTGTACGTAATTCACCTAAATGATTACGTGTTTGTAAATTTAATACATTTAAACGATTTCGTATTGCATTATAAAGTGAATCACCATATAATTCACATAATGATGGATAAGTTGATGTTATTAATTGACCATAATTTATTAAAGATTTATTTATTGTTGATGATGAACCTTGAAATTGTATATAATCATCTTCAAGTGGTTTAAGATATAATAATAATGTTTGTTTCATTTTAATTATTTCATTCCAAAGACGATTACGTGTACGAATAAGATCAGCATCGTTACCATTTTTTAAACATTCATTACAATCTAATAGATACGAAAACAAAAAAAAACAAAACAAATCATAGGAAAAACATTCTATGTTTAATATAGATTAGAGATGTCCATTGTGGCTGGAAATCTTCCGTCGTCCTAGAAGACTCAAGGCTGTCTCGACGCGATTCTAGGAGAGAGCTAAGGCTATCGCGACATAATCTTAGAAGTGTCAAGGCCACTTTGCCATTGTCGCGACATGATCCTAGAACAGTCAAGACTACAACATCACCGTGCTAGATTAGTAAAGTGAGATTGAATTCATTAGATTCATCGCAATTCTGTTATATCGCACTGTTGCCATGTATATTTTTGATACAGATAAACAATTTCTAAGTTTATTATTGTTTCTTAACTTACCAACTATAGTTAAATGTAATTGTTTAATAACTTGATTAATTTCATTGATTTGTTTTTGAAGAGTTTGTGTTTTAATTGTTTGTATTTTATCAATATTTTTTAATAGAAAATCTTGTCGTTGTGAAAGTATATCAAGAAAATATTTAATCATTGTACGTATTTCATTTTCAATAGTTGAACTTTTTATTGAAATATTTTCAATTGTACGTGTTGATTGTTTTAATGATTCATCTAAATGATATAATAATGTTTGGGATTCAATTAAAAATTGTTTTGTTAATTGTCGTGCACTATCAATTGTATCTTGTAATGATGATAGACTATGTTGTTGAGCATGATGTATTTGACATTCATGACAATATGCATGTGAACATATATCACAATAATAGGATGCTTTTAAATTTGAATGTTCATGACAAAAAATTGTTGTTGATGAAGATAAAGAATTATTATTCATTATTAAATTTTCATTATTTGTATTATTTAATGAAAGTTGTGAAAAAACTGAACCAAATAATGATGAAAAATCATTTGAAGAATTATTTGATAATGATGAACGATTTAAAGAAAAATCTAATGAAGATGGTTGTTGTGATAGACGAACTACAAAAAAAAAAGAAAAATGATTTGTTAAGACTAATAATAATTCGAAAAAAACAAAAACAAAACTTACCTGTATTTGATAATAATGATTGTTGTCCAATCATAGATCGATTATTATTAAATTGTGATGTTAATAATTGTTGTCGATGATCTTTAAAACTAAGAATTTTTGGATGTGTTAATGCACATTTTTCACATAAAGATATTTCACAATCAAGACAATATGTATATGGTGGATTATTAGCAAAACAACAAAATGATGATGGACGATCATTTGTTGATAAACGATTTAATGATGATGAAGATATTGCTGATTGTTGACGAGAAAATAATGTTTGAGATAAATCATTACTTTGAATACTACTTGCTGGACTATCACGATCACTATTATGATTATTTCCATTAAGAAAATTAGGAAAAAAACGCATAAAATCATTTGATGTTGTTGTTGTTGTTGTTGGTATTGTTAAATCAAAATCAGTTTTAAAATTTGTTGATATTAATGGTGAATATGTATTATTTAAATCCGTTAATGGATGATGTATGGGATTTTGAGAAATATTACCGGATATAAATGGATCAAATGCACTTAAACGACGATTTGATGATACAGATGATGATGTTGATGATGCTGATGAAGAAGGTAATGATGAAAAATGTGGTTGAAATATTGATTGAGCTTGTTGTTGTTGTTGTTGTTGCTGTTGATTATTTAATATTGATTGTGTGGGAGGTAAAAGTGGAAATTTATTGTTTATATCAGAAGAAAAACGTTGTTGATCAACAAATTCTGTCATACAATTCGAGCAGAGTTTTGATAAGGGATTATTTGATGAAGATGCCATAACAATAGGCATTTCTTTAAGACACGATGAACATACGCCACCGGTATTACCACTGTTCATATTGCTAGTTTCATTCATGATTTCGTTTTATTTTAGTTTTGGTTTTTTTTTTTTTATTCGACCTGTTTTATAGAGGCCTTTCGAGCCAATTGGCCAAAATTGAAATCATATGTAACGACACATGTTTGAAACCTACTTTCATTTTCACTCTCATCTAACTGTCAGTCGA